CACACACACACACACACACACCTAAGGAAAATTTAGACAGAACCATCAGCGTAACAGTCATGTTTTTGAACTGTGTGTGGAAGCCGGATTACCCGGAGAAAACCCAAGCATGAACAGGGAGAACATGCAAACTCCATGCAGAAAAACCCAAGACCAGGAAACAAACCCAGGACCTTGTTGCTGCAAAGCAACAGTTCTACAAACTGTGCCACTGTGCACCCCATTTATTTAACATATTACTTGAAAAATAGAGTTGTATATTCTGATGCAGAATTATAGTTTACCAAATGAGAAGTAATTTCTAAACTCTTTATGGGATTAGTAAATTGCAATGACTATAAACCATACTTATGTAGCACAACTTATTCCTTAAAGCCTGTATGTGGACTTAGCAACTTGTGATGCAAATACTCACAGGTTCAGATGCAATAGTCCATCTTACGACATTTTTACAAGTTCTGCTTTGACAAGGCTGCATAAGGCTGTGGTTCATGTTTTCTTTGTCTCTGGTAGTTTGTCACAGTTTGGATTAAAAAAAAAAAAACATTTAGCTTCACTTTTGTCATTTAAGTTATCTTCAAGTCTATTGTTTATGACAAAAAGGCAGAGGATGAAGTCCTACAAGTGCCTCACATAAGTTGTACAATCATCTGCAAATTTCAAAATGGTTTCTGTTGGTGTCTGAAAAACACAGAGGTTCTAAACGGAGGAAATGAAGCAATAGTGTAATCTACAGTTACTATCATTACAAGTTTTGAGACCAAAACACATGAAATCCTGCTTTCAGACTGTGTGCTCTGGATTATGGCAGAAAAATTCCCCCATATTTTATTCAGTGTGATAACTAATTGCAAAAAAAACAAGTGCTAAGGAAAAGTATTTTGCAAGCATGTTCATTTTTCTAAGGTTAATTATTTAAGATAAAGTTTGCAGACTATTTTGTTTATTCCCAGAGTTAAAGAAAGACCAAGATTTAAGTGGTGAAGTCCTGAAACATTACAATTTATTGAATTGTAGGGTTAGGGTAATTTACACTATGTCAGCATAGCAGTCTAATGTCTTATATATCCCATGTTTGATTGATATTAAAGCTCTATTGGAGTGAATGTGGGAGAAGATACTACAGATTTGGATGTTATGAAAATGTTTATTTGAAGACACTGGAACGTGTGGATATTTTAAAGAACTCATCTTTCAGTTATTAGAGCTCAGGGAAATGTTTGTATAAAATAAGCTTTTGCAATATAAAGAGACCAGCTGCGTGACACAGAAACTGATCACCGTCACACCAATACCCACAACGCCCCCTGACCCCCCAACCCTCCCAACCCCCTCTCCCACCTTTCCCAGTACTGCATAGTTGTCCACGGGGGAAGGAGGGAGGCGGGGTGCTGGAAAGATGGTTCGCCAAGAGCCGCCTCTGAAGGATGAACACAGTGGGAGGGTCCCATAAAAATTTCACAAGTCTTGTTCACAAGTGTATTTTCTAACCAGAAAGAACTTGAACTAGCTGCATTGGGCAGAAGAACAAATTTATTTTTTCCCCGACAGAGTGTGTACAGTCCTTTAGAATGGGTTGTTCCTTTCATGCAGCGATTGTTTGTTGTTGCTTCCTTTATGACCAGGTTTTGAAATATATGCTTTCTGTTTTTAGTTGGTAGGGGTCCTTGCCCTTGTGAGGGTGAATATGTGCCGGGTTGAGCAAAGAACCACTTATAACTGCTTGCTGTTCTAGTTTATCTTGTTTTTAAAAGATGTTCCCACAAACAGAGACGATATCCTCTCTTACTCTGCCTGCATTTTCTCAGCATAATGACGTGCAATCTGTGCACAACGGTGTTGCAAAATGCAGCTGCCTTCGGAGGCGCAAAATAATGACAATGTGCACAATTATCTGTTGATACGTCAAAAGTTTTTTTTGTGTCTCTATGGAGACAGGAGAAAGAGAGATTTTAACTCATGTCGGGTGTGGCCCATGTGAATGGCTGATGCAACCAGATGGGAGCCCGAACAGGACCATAAAGTGGGGGAAGTGGTCCTACTTCTGGTATGACTGGGAATAAGTGACTCCATTTAATGATATATGGATGTTGATTGAATCTAGCTCTGCCTCTTGTCATGAGGTGGTGAGGAGAGAACGCTGAGACCCAGGTTATGGTGACAAGATGATTTAATGAAGTGGCTCAACACGGTCCAGTCAGGCAGCACGGCAGGAACAATTAGCTCACAGCTAACAACCGGTAGCAACTGACAATGTGAATCTTGAGCTTAGCAAACCAGGACTGTACAGTTCTACTGGAAAGCAATAGACACGATAGACAACGACAAACTTAGACACGACGAGGATCCGACGAGGAACACAGACAACAGGTGGGTTTAAATACACACAGGGTAATTAAGGAAACGAGACACACCTGGGGATCAATCAACGGGGAGGACAGGACAGAGACTCACAGGGAAACAGGAAAACATAGAAAAACTCAAAAATAAACACACAATAACACGGATCTTGACACCTCTTTCAAGTCTATGGATGTCCAGAAAGCAGATTAACACCATTCCTAACATGTTGGTGTGTTTTTTGTGTTAGTTCTAAAAAGAGAGACTAAAGAGGAAGTGGAAAAAATGTGGCAGCAAAAAGCAGATCAATACTCTTAAAAAAGACTTGCTGGCACAGCTGATGCTTTTATTTGTTTTTGTTGTTTTTGAGAAGTTTTAAAAAATACTACTATGAATGTAATAGTATCACTGTGTGGGAGGCCTAAACAGGCACTAGGCAACAATTTAAACAACTGTGTCACCACAGGCATCAAGTGGTAAAATTGAAACACGAAATGGATTAGAATATAACACTGCAAAAACTCATGTCAGCAATTATCTAAGAATGCACAAAAAAAAAAAAAAACCTTCAAATGGGCAGATGTACAAAGGTGGAACTGCTTTCTAAAGAAAAAGCTCAAATAGTTTGGTACCTGTAAAATTAGTACAGCTCTTGATGTAAACAGAAATCAGAATGTAATATTAGATTAAACTGACTCATACATTGCCACCGCTTCTTCAGGGAATGGCACCAAGAGGGAACTAAGGTTTCCTGTTCTGACTTTCTGTAGCTGTATTTGTATTAAGTGAGTGAGATGTTTTTATTAGATCTTGTAAATGATATAGCTGGTAAATCGCCCACATCTGTTTTACTAAAATAATAACAGGAAATAGCCTGTGCAAGGACAGCGCCTTATCTAGCTTATCGAGCTCTCCAGCTCTTTTCACTACACTCAGTAATTAATGAATTAATGAGTTAATGAATTCATTCATTCATTCACTCACACACTGATGGTTGTACGCTACACTGCAGTCAAGCTTGTCCTGGGGCAGACTGACAATCGGTAGCACTGGGCCCTTTGACCTCCACCAGCAGACAAAGCAGGTGGAGTGTTTTACCCAAGGACATAATGACAGAGCAGGAGTGCAGACTGGCAAACCCCCCATTACAGGACGAACTCCTACGTCCTGAGCCCCTTTTGCCCCAATAATAATTACTACACTCAAACTTCTACAAGAGTCACATGACTTTATTGGGACTTTTGTTATGTACAGCATAAATTTTGGGATTTGATACACAAGTTGCTTTAACTCACCTTTGTACAGACAAGATAAAATCAGAAGATTCAAAGATAACTGTGTAACAGGTGCTACCTTCAAAACAAGATCATTTTGTGTAATCAAATCTTACTATGAGAAGGAGAAAAAAATAAAGAAACTAAGTATAAAGGTATGAACTGATAGGGACTGAAGAATAAGGAGATAATTAAAATATAAACACAAAAGAAAAGAAAATCTAGCATTGAAGGATTGTGGCATTAATTCTGAAAATAAAGTATACAATTATGTGGATTAGGCAGAAATAGAGGGGAAACCAATCATTATTTTACAATCTTTGAAGAAAAAACTCTGCAGTTTTGCCACCATTTTGCACTGGTGGCAAAATAATGAAACTGACCCTGAAATGGTCAAGTATGATTCAAGCAAATGCATTTATGATGTAATTATTTGTTGTAGTGACACCAAAATCTAAACCTGGAAACAATTCTAGCAAGATGTAATATTCAGCAAGATTCTTTCTTTTTGGAAGAACAAACATGTAAATGACAACAGGCTACAACAGCTAAGATTTAGAGCAAGAGTACAAATATAAATAAAGATGTGTTCCCAAATCCTGCAAACTGCCATAAAACCACAATCATTAAATTTACATTTAAGCAGCAGAAGTCTGCAAGAATATTTACTTGTGTCTAGAGAGATAAAGAGAGATAATTAGAGTCTCACTTAAAAAAATCAGGACTGTTTTTATAAACAACAATACCAGCTTTATGTTGTTCATTGCCACTAAATCATGGTGATTAATTTTGATCTTGAGTCCCAACAATAACAATGAGTGGTGAATTATAATGTAATTATGAATCCCAATGGCAATTTACCTTTAGAAGGAAAAACTGCTGCTCTGTGACCACATAAGTAGAAAGTTCCTTTATCTATAAATGTTGGCAGATAATTCCTAATGCCAGACTTCTTTTTCTTCTGTATAAAAACTACAACAAATCATCAACGTCATCATTTAGGCTTCCCATTTGCATAAAGGACCCGACTGCCTTGATACTGATGTCATCTTCACTTTTGTTTTGTACCTAAAATCGAACACAAACATTTGAGCTAAAAATATGATGGGTGAAAAAAAAAAGAAATAAAAGACAAAATCTAAAGACAATTTACCTTCGTCCTTTTGCCTCCAAATATATTGTATGGAGGATCATGGTAAGTCTTCTGAAACCTGAAAAATTATATCTAATATCCATTGAGATGTTCAGAAGTTGATAAAAAGAAGACAACAGAGGAGTCAAGTGTGTCTTTGCAGAAACATCAATTTGTAATCTGTAATGCTGAAAATATCAAATCTGAAAAATAATATTTTTGGTGGGTGTTGAGGAAAAGAACAAGAAGTGTTAGTGAACAGGATCTATGAGATGGCATGCAGCTGTCAGTCAGTGAGTGTTACAAATGAAAAGAGGCTATTTTGATTTGATTTGAACTGCTCACCTACCTGATAACAAACAGCAAGACACACACTACAACGAGTAAGATGACAGTTGTGCTGATGAACACAGAAATCTGCCCTTTACCTGAAATGCAAGATGGGAAAATATAGATTAGCACCATTTCAAAGCCCTTTGTTGGTGTCATGATAACCAACAAATGATGGAAGTGTTAATATAAATCACTCACAAAGGGATATTTCCAGAGATTTTAAAAAGTGATCATTGATTCTAAAACATTTTTGATTGACCGAGGGCCTCTTGTGGCCTAAAACTGTGCTTCTGGGATTAGCATTAAGTGATTCGAGATCAACAGAGAGCATAAAAGAGATCCATTAATTATTTTCATAAAACTTTTTTCTAATCTTCAGACTATTTCAAATCAACTTCTGCCACAGGATCATTAAGCCGTACTGATGAGGTGTCACTAGATGGTATTAATTCAGCTGAAGAAAACAAAAATATTTTTTAAGGACAAGTATTCAGAGTTTGTATTTACTCTTTACAACCTACCTGAGTTTCTAATCACCTGCTGTTAAGGTGGACTTAGTTGAGTTGCATATTCACAACAGATCATGTATTAAATCAGCTTATAGATAATAATAATAATAATAATAATAATAATAATAATAATAATAATAATAATAATAATAATAATAATAATAATAATTATTATTATTATTATTATTATTATTATTACAGATAATAGCAACAAAAAAATACACATTTATATTTTAAGATGGACAAACGAACCTCGATTTTCTGCCAAAACTTGAGGGGATTTGATAAAAAGCTGTTTACTGTCTGATCCCAATGAATTGAAGCTAAAACAGACCAATGAGGACAAGTTTTTCTCCTGCAGCTGATTCACAGCGATGGTGCTCCTCAGATATGTGCCATTCAAAGAGTCAGTGATGACAAAAACCTTGGATTGGCTGACTGGTTGCCCATTGAAAAGCCACTGCAACATTGGAGGGTTTCCCACAGTTTCACATGAACAGTTGATTTTATTTGCTGCATTGGTGCAATTAGAAGAGGGCAGGATCCTTGGAGGAACTGTAAAAAAAAGAAGAGCAAATTGTCACCTAAAAATATAGGAAATATGGTTAAAATGAATGGAGACATGTTTAAATCAGCTCTCAAAATAAATTAGGAATCACTTTCTTTTAAAGAGTTACTTAAGCCTGGAACAAAAGTGATACTTGAATATTTGAAACTGTGCATCAGAGTTTTCATTTGATTTGATAAACTAAATAATCAATAAACATTTGATCATTGCTCTTATTTATTTTTCTCCATAGTTTGCTAATTAAAAATGCAGCTGTCCATTGAAAATCATTTGCTGGGTATAAAATATATATTTTCATGTATTACTTTGACAAATTTATAAAGGAATATTTTATGTCTAGAAAAAGTTAATAAGTTATTCTAATAATATTAGAATAACAGAAATATGTAAAGTATCAATTTAGGTCAAAATTCACAAAAGGTGGATGTAAAAATCACAGATCGCACAAATCTGTAAATAGAATCACATGATGTCTTTTTCATGTAGCCAGATTTGCTGTAATTAATAGAAAGCTAATTAGGAAAATGAAGTTATCTTCCATGTCTAAAACGTAGCCCTTCATTCTGGAGACTTACATAGTTATTGTGTGACATGCTTTACTGTTTTCATGCCGACTCTGAAAATGTAGTGGTTTTAAACAAACTACCATGTCCAGTAATCCACCGTATTTCATTTTTGAAATGCCTTTTTGCCATTAAAATCAATTGTCATATTTTTGATTTGTCAATGATAAACAACATTCATTACAGAAATGGAGACCAACCTCGATTTTCTGCTATAATCTGAGGCGAGTTGATAAAAAGTTGTTTACTGTCTGATCCCAAAGAATTGAAGCTGAAGCAGAATAAGGAGGACAAGTTTCTCTCCTGTGGTTGATTCACACTGATGGTGCTCCTCAGATATGTGCCATTCAAAGAGTCAGTGATGACAAAAACCTTCCCAGATTGGTTGACAATTTGCCCGTTGAAAACCCACTGCAACATTGGAGGGTTTCCTACAATTTCACAGGAACAGTTGATTTGACTTGTTGTTTTGATGCAACCAGAAGAGGGCAGGATCCTTGGAGGGACTGTAATGAAGTAGAGCAAAAAAAGGTTTCCAAAATGAATTAATATGTCTAAATAAATAGTGAACACATTTGTGATGAATCTCATGTTTTCCAATTAACTTAAACTCATAAAAGCTAATAATATATATATATATATATATATATAGAGAGAGAGAGAGAGAGAGAGAGAGAGAGAGAGAATGTGATGGACACAAATCAGCAGTTCCCAAAGTGAATGAACACATTTAAATCATTTGTGATGAATCATGGTATAACTTCGTTGAGTCTTTAGAAAAATCTTATGAGAAAAAACTTGTATGGGCCATGAATTACTCTCTGTATCATGTTGTGACCACTGGGTGTCACTGTGGTTCCACAAAAATATGGCGGACCTTTGTACAGAAGCGAGGCTGCTAGCCGGGAGAGCTAACAATTTGTTATCATGTAAGGACTGGTTATTTAATTATTTATTTAGCTTTCTTTTACAAGGATACAAAAGCCTATTGAAATTAAAAAGCTTATTTGAAGATGAACAAACCTTGATTTTCTGCTGAAATCTGAGGTGAGTTGATAAAAAGCTGTTTACTGCCTGATCCCAATGAATTGAAGCTGAAGCAGAGCAATGACGACAAGTTGCTCTCCTGCAGCTGATTCACGATGATGATGCTCCTCAGATACGTGTCATTTAGAGAGTCACTGATAGCGTAAACCTTCCCAGATTGGTTGACAGGTTGCTCATTGAAAAACCACTGCAAGATCGGAGGGTTTCCCACAATTTCACATGAACAGTTGATTTGACTTGTTGTTTTGATGCAACTAGAAGAGGGCAGGATCCTTGGACGAACTGTTAAAGTGTAGAGCAAATTGTTAATTGGAAATATAGTAGATAGGGTTTTTCAAAATCAGTTAAAGCATGTTTGAAGTAAGAAAATGCATGGCCTGTTTTTTCAGCATCACTCCAGCAGGAAGTAGGTAATCTTGGCACTACGTGTATAGGAGGTGAAAACGGAAATCCTAAAAATGTGCCTAACATGAGATTTAAATGACTTGCATGTAGAAATTTGGCTTTCATTTTTACCGGACACATTCCCATCTCTCCATAGCTCTTTTTTTTCTCACGCCGTTTTCTAAGCCACTTTCTTCCTTGCTTTGTCTCTTGTCAGATTTACGGCAGTTTCCACTAGTTTGCTTTCTCTGGGATGAAGTTTAAAGTTAACTGAACCAAAATGTAGTTATAGCATTTAAAATTTGAACAAAGAAACTAACTTACACAAAATATCTGTTTTCAAACTTGTAGTAAGTGATGAGTCAGGGTTTCCATTCCCCATCTTGTAAGTAGCAGTACAGGAGATGTTCTGTCTGTGATGGAGATTGGTAGCAATGAAACTCAGGACAGAGGTCTTAGCTGTAGATTTATTTGGGCTCATCTGCATTGTCTCCATAACATCCCCCATTTTGGGGGTCCATGTCAGAGTTGGGGGATGAGTCAGGCATGGAGATGGAGCAGAGCACGTCAAATTCACCCAGTCTCCCTCCTTCCCCTCCAGTATGGAGACAGTCAGAGTTGGTGGGGGAAAATGTTCTTGGAGGAAGGTTTCATTGTATCATTTAGTAGGCAAAAATGCAAACATAGATTAATAAATACAATAACTCAAAGTTAGAAACCTACCTTTGACATCAATTTTTACACTTGCTTCTTTAAATGTGTATTTTGTAGTTTTGCAATCCAGTCTAAAGTAATATACGTTGGAATGATTAGGCTGGACATTATAGAAGGTGGTGGTGCAGTTTTTCTCTGTTAAGTTTCCTGTAACTGGGTTTGTATCTGTTAGTCTTGGGTCCCTGCTATCTGTGTAAAGCCACAGAGCTCTGCATTCCCCGTGCAAGTTTTTTTCATGTTCTCTTTGCATCTCAAAGGAGCATGGAATAGTGACACAGGACCCATTCATAGCTTGTACAGTCTGCGGCAGAGAGATCTCAAACTTGTCACATTCAGGGCCTGAAGAACAAAACCGTTTAGAAAAAGAAAGTCAAATAATTAGAAACAAGAAGTGTTGATTTTTGCCTTCCTCCAAACTTGATTAGCAGTCGTTTCACAAACTGTTATATAATATAACTCACATTGTATATTTGCTCTTGTGGAAAAGGTTACAGCACGGCTTTCATCTTGTTTCTGGTAGGCAGCAGAGCAGGAGATTTGTCCATGATTCTGACGAGAAGCAGTGAAGTTCAGAACCGATATCCTCATGGGAGTTTTCCCCCGATTCTCCAACAGTGTCACCTGACTGTTATGTAATGTGGGGGTCCAGGTCAGATTTGGAGGATGAAACAGACAGGGAACCAAAGCAGAGCAGGTCAGACTCACGGAGTCTCCGTTCTTCACCAACAATGTGGATGGAGTCAGAGTTGGTGGGGGGAAATTATCTGTGAGAAAGGCAACAATGACATCACCCAGTAAGTAAAATGAGAAACTCGTCAAACATAACAAATGTTAATGTTAATGAAGTTTAAGAAAACCTACCTCTGACTTCAATTGTTACACTTGCTGTTTTAAAAGTGTATTTGAGACCATTACAATCCAGCCTAAGGTTATAGGTGTTGGCATGGCGACGCTGCATGTTGCTGAAGGTGGTGGTGCAGTTTTTCTCTGTTAAGTTTCCTGTCACTGGGTTTGTATCTGTTAGTCTTGGGTCACTGCTACTTGTGTAAACCCACAGAGCTCTGCATCCTCCATTTAAATATTGTTCATATTTTCTCTTTAGGTCAAAGGAGCAGGGGACGGTGACACAGGATCCTCTCAGAACTTGTACAGTCTGTGGTAGAGAGATTTCAAACTGGCCACAGCTTCTGCCTGAAGGACAAAAGAGGTTCAGGAAAAAGTAGTGGGATAATAAATTGGGTTTTTGCTGGTGTTAGATATTTTTTGGTATTATCATTTTGTTATTACTTTAGTTCATATTCAGTCTAATGTTAATCAGTATTATTGTGATTTTTAGTTTAAAGTGTTCTCTTCCTTATGTGTGTATAAACTGACCTGGAGGTTACAACTGTCTGTTTATCTTCATGTGAGACAGTTAACTCTGTGTTTCCCAGACCTTAATTCTTATCAACCAGAATACCTCCTAACTGCCTGTGAGCAGTCGTATTTTGTCTCGTTTATCCTCCCTCTTTGTTGACAGTTTGACCTAGAGCTGAACTGGGCTCAGATAGTAGATCAGATATCACACCTGGAACTGAGTTGCTGGTTTGTTTAGGTTAGAAGTTTTACGACCTTTGTTGTTCTTCCTGACTGCCCCTTTTTGGCTGTTCTGCTTGACAATAAAACAGGGGCTCACGCGAAAGCAGACCAGAATTCTCTGTGAACGGCTGATGAGGTTGTTGATGGAGAGTTCTCCTTTTGCAAAAGCTTTGTCTATAAAATTCATATACGTTGTCTGTGGTTCATTTATTTAGGTTCGAGAAAAAGTACCTATCATTTTAATTCACTCTAGTTTAGCCCTTCATGGTCCTTTTGATATTATTTGAGGTATTT